TGTGTCTGTCTGTCTGTCTTCTGTCTGAGTGTGTGTGTGTGTGTGTGTGTGTGTGTGTGTGTGTTTTCACTTTCATATTTCCTTATGTCACAGGAAGTGAGACCTCTATCTACTTTATGATCAGATTCAAACCCTTGAAGAAATTTAAATTTAAATAAATTAAAATAGATTAGAAAAAATGATGATGAAGTCAATAAAAATGGAAACTGTGTTAGAATCTCGGGAGTCATGTCGTGAATATGCTTTTATTTTGAAAGCTCACCTCGTTTTCGCTTTCTGGTCTGTGACGTGACACCCCCCTCCCTCCCCCCGTGTTCTTTTAATCATATAAACCACATGATTCAGGAATAAAATCTAGAAATATATATACTATGATTATAAATATACTATATATTCCTTCTATACATGAACTTTGAAAAACCGTGTCCTCTTCCTCCTGGAAGTTTTTCATTGTATCGTTTGTTTATGTCTTTGATGGATGAATGAGTTAGTGTGTGTGTGTGTGTGTGAAAGGAAAATAGAAACCGGGAGTTTCTGTCTTTCACTTTGTTCTGCTTAAAAGAGGACACCTGATTCAGGTAAGAAACACAACACAGACACAGAGCACGTCTTCACCGTCTTCATCATCATCATCTTCTTCATCTTCATCATGATCAGGTGCACCATCATCCTCTGTGCCTTGACTTCTGCTCTCTGCTGTGATTGGCTCAGACACTACAATCACTATAGCAACGTCACGCTGACACTCCTGCGACAGATGGTGAGTACAGCAACACGTATGTGTTTATTAACATCTTAGTAAAATCATAACAAAGTAATACAAGTAGCATACTGCACAAATACATTGTACAGTTACTGCAGTGAAAGTACCAGTACGCATTCTGTTACAAGTACAGTTACAGCAGTAAAAGTATTAAAAGTATGTGATGGTGCATTCAGGAGCAGCTGACAGGACGTTTCAGGTCGAAAAGGAAGAATCTAAATTCTGAACTGGTCCTTTAAAGGTCGTGTTGTCTCAATGGTAACATCTGTATATATTAAGTGGATATATTTATATTAACAGAGCATATAGGTACACAGATGAATATATATTAGAATAATAACACACACAAAAGTATATATATATATTCAATAAAAAGGGTGTATATTTAAATAGATAGAAAAGTAATATACATAATGTTTTACATATATGAATTTATATCAAAAACAAATATAAATATACACATATATAAATGTATGTAAATTTGATGTCATAATGTTATTTTTCAGGGAGGTCAGCTGACTGAAGACGAGAGTCCAGTTTCCTTTCCATTCAAACTTTACACACAAGTACGACACCGCAAGGTAATCCATGCATCCATCAATCAGTCCATTCATCCATCAATCAATCAATGAATCCATCCATCAATCAAAAACAAAATTAGTTGATGATCTCGTCTCGGTCCCAGCCAATCAGAAAAAAGCAGTGCTTTCTCTCTCTCTCTCTCCAGGTAGAGTCTCAGTTGATTTTCATCAAGAACAGTTTGTTGGGGATCTCTGACCTCTATCGCCATGACAACCTCTCTTCCCCTACCTGGGATACGAAAGTGACTCATCACTTCCAGGTCAACCTCCACCGACTGAAAGAGGAACTGAACACATGTGTGAGTAAAATACTTAACACACTCAGAATAAAGTACTTTCCCATCTTTTTGTTATTCAGGTGCCGACTAGCAAACAATTAAACAGACGACTGACGAGATACTACACGAGGCTTAGAAGGACTCTGGACCGCACTGTGAGTACTTTTACTGTGAAGTTCTGTGTACAGTACTGTGTTTACTGAGTGAACGACTGTTTGTAGTTCTGTGTATACAGGGTACTGTTACTGACTGTAGTACTAATTGTAGTACTTTGTGTACAGGGTGGTAGTATTGCGTCATGGGAACTCATCAGGAAAGAAACAGAACTTCATCTTCATCAGTTGCAGCTTCTCGTCACATCCATCTTAAATTCTGCTGCCAGCAGGAGGCGCTAGACACTCAGACAATACTGAGGGTGTTTTCTGTCAGATTATCATGCTGTTATTTATTCATCAGATTGTCATGTTATTTATTTATTTAT